AAAGTTATCGAGCTTGTGAATCTCTGTGTTTATAAAAGTCATTAAGTTTAAAGCGACGAGGAATGTATTGACTGTGGAAATTCTGTGTATTACAAAGGTTTGTATCGAGAAAGAATAAACTAGTTTTAATCAAGAAAGGACTTGTATCGCTGAAGTTTCTCGGAAAGAATATCGACGGGAAATAAACAAACAAGCAGATACGTAACAATATGAAAGCTACCAATCCCTCCATCGAGTACCACCAGCTGAAACTGTAAATGTGCTGGAAGTAAATAATACCTTTTTTGATATGGAAACAAACTTTGGTGACAACAAAAAAAAAAATGTGAAGAACAATAAAGGTAAGTGATCACTTAGAATTGCTAAATTGAAGTAGGGAAAAAAACAATAAAAATATTTCCATTTCGTATGAAATTTCAAAAATCAAAAATGCAGGAAAAAAGGACAAACAACAAATGTCCTGATGATAGCACTGCCAAACGAGAAGAATCAAATAGAGGGAGTCACATGCATCAAGAGTGTGTGTTGCACTCCTATTGGTGGAAGGTTGCTGCATGATGATTTACATGCAAGATACAGTTGAACCAAGTTGACTGTGGGAGCTCGAGACTTGTGGCACGGGAAAAAGTTTTTTCATATAGAGAGTAGCACTAAACGAGAATACCAATATCTGTGAGAGGAGGTAAGTTACTGTATTGGAATAAGAATGTTCTTAAAATAACCATTTCTTTAATTACCTCTTTAATGGTAAGCATTCATTTTAATAGTGCAGTCACTATCATTACCCATGTGCTATCACAAGCAGTAAACCTACCCATACACAAAATCACACATTTTACATTACTGGCTGATTAAATAACACAAGTTTACCAACATCAAATGGTTTCTCTATAGCTTTGTCAGCCTCATACAATATTATTACATGAAGATTAACTCTTAATTACTGAATTGTTTATATATGTTTAACTACCAGTGGTGTCTACGTATCTTACTGTATTGAGTATTCTTATGTTTTTGCCTGTCACAGCATTAAGTGTGAAGAACTGACCCCAAAAAAAAGGAAGGATTAAATCACTATTTCCTATGTAAAATACATAAGAAACTCCAGCACTAATATGTGGGACTAGCTGCAATATTGCTGGTATTTTTTTTTATTTATTTAGTGTGGCTCATGAAATTACAAATCCTGTAACCATGACAATCATGTAACCACAAACAATTTGGTGCATAAGTTCATAAACACTTTAAAAAAATGTTTTTAAAAATCCAATGAAATAAGAAAACACTTGAATATGTTATACATAAATTTGATGTACTTTCTTTACACTTTGTACCTTGTTCCTAATCGTCTTGTCCTCAAACCTAGGAACACAGATCTTATCAGCTTTCCAAAGGATGCAGCATTAACTGGTTCTAGCTTATGTTCAGTACAATGCCGCATGTAGTGGTTATACAGTGTACTTCTAGGTAGGCTTACACCTTCCGCTGTCTCATAGTTATCTATAAGCCATTGAACCTGTTGAAATGAGAACAGAATATTACAGTTTGATGTTATATAACATAGAATTTTCTTCAACAAAGCTATTTGTAATGTATGAGATCTATATTTCTAAAATACACAAACCATTCTGACTCTCCATTGTTGTTTAGTAATCTTATGAAACTAATAAACATTTTTTAAATCTAATACCTTAGTTAATCCTTCTAAAGTTCATTTTAAACACCTGTGTTTATTTAGTAGAGTAATGAAATGAAAGAGATGAGATATCGATGTCAAGAATGTCCTCATCTTATAGGAATAATTCATTTCATTTTTGCAATATTTCAAGGTCTAATTAAAATATAATACAATGACTGTACCACAAAAGTTTTATTACTGTACTGAGAAGAAACAGATCATTAATAATTATCAGTCAGAAACTACATTGATGACATTACAATAATACACCAGCCCTATAATCAAGAACAATAAAGTGAGTTTTCCAAACGAGTTTGTACTTGTGTTTATGGATATTTCAACATATCTTTTAAAATTGTAAAGAATAAGTTGCAAAAACGTATTCCTGAAGTCAACAAACAATGAAATGAACAAAACATATGCACTTCTATATTTAAGTCATAAATATCATTCTACACTGCTTTTTTTTAAACCATTCAGTAAAATGAATGGACTTCTAAGCCTTTGAAACTGTTCTGTGCTCTCTTAAGATAATGTGCTTATAAACTGGTATAAAAGAAACAAATGGCAATAACACAACAAAAGTACAGGAAAAATTAGCACAAATTTTCTTAATTTTTATATTCCTAGAACTGCTGATGGCTTCTTTTCTAAATTCCTACACAAGAACAGGAACTCACAATCATATGCACACAACTGAATCACCAAGAAACAGATGAAATGAGGATAAAAGACAACAGAAAATGTTTTTAAGAATAAACACATACACACACAAAGTCATGCAAAAGAGGTTTGATACATGGTGTATACCATTATTCTAATTGTTACCAAATATATTGTATTTCAATCAAGAAACAAGTGAATAAAGTGCAAGAACAATATATATATAACTATGATGACAAATAAGATCAGAAGCAATACAGAAACTGAAGAAGTTGTAAAAAGAAAGTGGTAGTCCTTATTGATGGGGAAATCAAAATATCTTCAACATAGGCTATCTGCATTAAGGTTTTATGAGGAAAATGCATGCTATATAATGGAATAGTCATTATATTCTCATGCTATTAAAATGATCATGCATTACTGCTATTGATCAGCATCTGATCCAGATACTTGAAAACAAGACAAACCATCATCTCGGTCAACAATGCAAAAATGAAAGACCCATAAGTTTCAAGTGATAGTGGCAGGATTATGTTTTTCTTCTGTACTTTTAATTTTTTTTATTTGTTTCTTCTTAACCCTGTTTTGAAGTCACAGGATCAAGAACTCCTCAAGAAAAACCTACATGAATTATGTCCATGTCGCGCACATTTTGTGGCTGAGAATGGTGGGATGACAAGGATTGAGGCTGAGGTTGAAGCTGCAGCTGATTTTTTTCAGGGGAACTGTGCAGAGTCTGAATCGCACACTGATCATTAGGAAATGAAGGCATGACCTCTGCTATCTTTCGAGTGTCCTCCTGAAAAAAGGCAGTATGTAAACCCAAAGCAAGTATTAAGTCTTTTTTTTATATCACCTTAACATGTTTTTTTTTATCGTTTTTACTAATTCAGAGATTTTTGACTGAGTTATTGTTTTCTTTGTAGAACTAGCTTGGAAACTATTATGTTCGCCTATTACCTAAAAAAAGAGCAATATGCAAGGATTTTTCACGTAGTTCAAGACTCGTAAATAAATATCTTGCATACAAAGAAACTTTTTACATAAACCATGACGAAAAATGAATATACTGAAAATAATAATAACGCTAAAGTCACCATTTGACTAAAATTTTTAGATTCAGAATTTACACTTTTTATTATAGGAAAAATAAACTTTCCTGTTTCTAATAACAAAAAATTATATATATATTACCATATGTATACCATGTTGCAATATAGAATATTTTAGGATATCTAAATGTTAGCATTTTCCTACAGTGAAAATGTATTTCTGATAGATACATACCACTTCTCACAAAGTAGCTTTTATCAACTAGCATTGTCCTTTATTGGTGCAAATTTTCAATGTATGCCACTAGCTTTCCACCTTCAACTTTTGCATATCCCTGTGCAAATTATCACGCAGTAGCTCTTCATCAATAGAAACATGACACCACTTCCATCATATCCAGCACCCTCTTCATATCTGCACTCATTAATTACTTCAACTTTTGTCAGAAGACCTCCATCATATATCATCAGAAGTGGGAAGGCTGAGTGGTAAATGTGAGTATAGGTAAGTATCTAGAGGAAAGACATTTTCAGTGTAGGAAAATGCTAATTCCCGATATGATATCTTACCTTCTCTCACAAAATAGCTAGAATCCCACACTGAACTGGTGGAGGGCTAATAAAAAAAAAAGATCCCCCTTTAGGAAGCACTCAAAGAGAGACCGAGAGGAGTAAAACCGAAAGAGAAAACATCACACTTCAGCAGGAGACCACATTACATCTGGTCCAAGTATACGGCTCATTCTTCTCTGACAGTGTTGTGAACATATAAGGCGGAAAAACACGAAGGAATTCCAGAATATGTAAAACCAATGAATGGGACTCCTGTTGAGTGGCTAGGGCATGACAGATTGTAGTGGTAGTTTGACCTCATCCAACACCAGGTGGTAGCTGGAATGGTACATCAGATCCACGGTAGGTAGAGGATAAACTACCTCTTCACCTCAAAATGGGAATTGGTAGAGAAGGCGAGCTTCTGTACCAAAATCTGTCTCCACTTGCTCGCATTTCCAACACAACCAACAACAAATTCACCAGGAATTGACATCCAGCAGATGGTAGGAAGATGGAAAGCCCCAATGGGATGACATCCCTGGCCCAAAACCTGATGGCAATGGGTATAGTACTTCTAATCAGTGGTAGTAGGTGTATATCTGGTCATACACAAGAGGGAAAACATGTGCTGCATCCAACTACAACCAACACTAGGACTCCCGGGAATCAACATCCAGCAGATGGTAGGAAAAGGGAATGCAAACCTGGGGTACATCTCCAGTCCAAAACCTGGCAGCAGTAGGCATTTGTCATCCAGTCCGCAGTAAGAGGAGGGATACTGGCCAGTACACATGTGAGGACTTACTTAGCCGGACCATCTCCAACCAACACTGGAACCACCAGGGATGTATGTAGGGAGGAGGAATGTCTCAGCCTGAGGGGCAAACTGCAATTATAAATATATATATATATTCATGACAACCAAAACCTGGCAGCATCTGGAATCGTATCCCAGATCTGCAGTAGGAAGGGTGTCATGTCATTTACACATGACACTAATTGTGACTGGACCATCTTCAACCAAAACCAGACCCACCAGGAATGTACATCCAGGAGACTGTAGGAAGGATGAATTCCACGGTAGAAAAAAACAACTGGTCAGATATATAGACAGGAATATGTCATAGTGCTACAACCAAAAGGTGGCGGCATCTGTTATTGAACATCAGGTATGCGGTTGGAAGTGCTATCAGCTGAGTGGTATGTTTCATCACTTGGGAGGACAGGCCTTCACAGTCCACAGCTCCAGTGGCTAGGAATTGGAAAGTGGTAAGGACTAGAAGAATGGGGGAAAATGGTTTTGAGAGTCCAGAGAACTGCATCACCAGAGACAGTGCAATGGGCAACCACAATACCCTATTTTGAAAAGTAAAGCTACCATGTAGGCAGAGTCGATCAACCCAAACCTGGTAGCCTATGAGTGTATGGTCTACGAGGAACATAGTTATGAAGCAACTAGAGAGATCTACAGGCAGCCCTATGTAACACCCCGTTTCTACGATGTGCATAACCCAAACCTGCAGTGTAATTGTTTAGTCATAGATAACAATAAAATGGAGACACACACAACCAACACCTGATGGCATAAGGTCCACAGTAGGAAGGGCTACAATGTAATTGACATTGAGCATGGTCACAGGATGAACAGCGTAGATTTGCAAAAAGAAAAGTATACCTGGTCAGGCACACTTTTCTTTGAGTGGGATCCACAATACACTAGCAAAAAGGCCCCTGAAAAGTTCGAAAAAAAAAAAACCTTTCACAAGACCAAAACGTGAAAATTTAAATAAATAGTAAAGAAAAACTAAGTCAGTAGTATAATGGAAAACGTTGACAAATCCTTGAGCAAAAACCAGTACTTCTGTACAGTACTACCGCCAATTCAGAAGTGATTAACATGCATCTGGAGGGGAGAAGTGTAACTGTGTAATGTCATATCCTCTCAGTTCTAGATAGAATTGTTACATGTTTTCCAGATATTCAGATTTAGGTACAGTTTTTTAGTCCTCAAACTTCACTTACATTTGAACTCTTAACTTCAACATTTGTCGACTGCTGATATACCACAAATAAAAATCTCAATCTCTCTTTCTCTCTCCAATTAAAGATACATTACAAAACATTTGAACAAGTGTTAACTTATACTTTTATTGTGTTTTGGTGAATAAAGATTATGATGATGTGCAAACTTGTTTCCAGCCTTTTTCATTGTGTCAAAGAGGTAGTCACTAAATATTTGTAAATTTAAAGTAAATCTACTATTCAATTGAAAATACATCTAATCCATTGTGATTATAAGACCATTTATTGATTCTATAGTTGACCATTTCAGTATTTGATAGTCAATGTATATTGCTTATCAAACTGTAGTATCTTTTCTAAGATTACAATGCAAGTTTAGAAGGAACAAACAAGAAAAATAAATGGTATGTTTTTACACAAAACAAGTTTAATGTTAAAATTATCATTTCATTTCTCATTGATATATCCTAGGGGAAGTTTCTATGTTTATTGGAATATTAAAGAACAACACAAAAAGCAATACACAATTTTATTGTTAGGCCTCATCTAAGCACATTAGATAAAAGCAGACCTATTAATGATAGCTTAACAATTACATAGCATTTACTTAATGTAATAAAGAGGTAGAAAATTCAGTAGAAAGGACAAGTCACCACAAAATAAATACTTACAATTACTGGGGAAATGTGAGCAGCTGAAGAAGAGGAAGTGTTTAGGTTCTGGTGAGATTCTCCCTCTAACAGTTCCCCCTGCACCTTATAGCCCCCGTTGTCCTCCAAAATGTGAACCAGTAGTAAGAACAAGCATCAACAATACAAGGAACATAAACCCACACAAAACAGAATTATAGCTTTTTCTTCTTACACATTCAAAACTCAAGAAATTGTTAGTCTTAGAAGGAGAAGAAAAAAAAAGGTTTAAGTTGGTACAAGGAAAGTGTTCTTACTTTTGAACACTATCATACTATAAATGAAATTGTTGGTAATTTTCATTCCATTCACAGGTGTACAAAGGGATTATTATCAAACAATATAACAAGAACATTAATACGATTACAGTGATCATGTTGCTAGTAGAAGCAAGATTTTCACTTTAAGAAACTATCCATACTAAATATATTTTGGTTGAAGTATAGTTAAAAACCTATGGTTAAGGTTAGATACAAAATAGCATCACTAAGAACATTTCAACACTATTTAATCTCTTTACAAAATAGCAGTAACTCCTTCAGAACATAACAAAAGTGAAGTTCAAAATACAATGTGAAGATCCTATTTCCTATTCTCAATAACAATACTTAGAATTTTACAAAGAATTCTACAATGTATTTCTATTTAACGTGTAGAAAAGCTTTGCTTACGTCCTCTGTCTCTAATGTAAAAATAAATTACTCTTCCTTTTCGTTAATTACAGTAAGTGTTCACAATATATGCATTCCTTGAAAATCTAACAAATAAATAATTTTCCAAAAGCTTTTGTTTTATAAAACATTTACAAAATGCTGTGCATTTCTAATACAACATCCAATGTAAGAGTTCAACACAAGCACTGTACTAATATGTACATTTCACTTCATAACATTTTACTACAACAATGTTTTTACTTCTCTTTGGGAGAAACTCTTTATTTTTCTTACTACATTAGAAAACCAATTGCTACTTGTCAAATCTTAAATCGTATTTTCATGTGAGGTAGCTGCATGATAGCATGCAACAACCTTTCATTAATAGGAGTGTGACACAACAGCTAGCACAGCTGACTCCCTCTGTGCAGTTAAGCTCAACTTCATTTCAAGATTGAGCAACATAAAAAGAAAAAGAGATCAAAAGTGAGGAGGAAGGGTGGGAAGTGTGAGAGTAGGTAAGAATTGATTGGAAATACATTTTCAGTGTAGGAAAATGTTAATTTCCAATACAATATCTTACCTTCCCTCACATAGCAGCTAGAATCCCACATTGACTTGGGGGGAGGAACAGGTATAGCATAACCTAGATGAAGCCCATGGGGTGTTATGAATAAAGAATATATAAGACACTGCAACACTTCTGACATACTCTTCGTTCATGAAATTGATGTGTTGCAATAAGGGCAGAATCACAGGAATAACCCCATAAATTAAATGAAGGGATCCCTGGTGTAGAGTGGATAGGGTGCAGTGGACCATAATGTAGAGTTCTACTTCAACCAACACCAACTGTACTATGATATGAATACCTGACTCATGATAGGAAGAGGGTCCTCAACCATTCACCTCAGACATGGGAACTGGAAGGGAAGAAGATCTTTTGATCTAAGGACCTGCATCATCGTGTGTACATGTTCAACACAATCAATACCTGTACCCTCCAAGAACAGACATCTGGACAACAGTTGGAAGGTGGATAGCAATTTGGTGATTCAACTCCAGAATCAGGCAGCAATGGGAATGAATTATCCAATCTGCAATAATAAGATGGTACCTGAGCCACTTACATGTGAGTACTTATGTGGCTGATACAGCTCCAACCAACACAGGTAGGCGGAGTGTCTATATACCATTTACACCGGCAGAACACCACTGCCATACTCACAACAGAATGGACCTGAGCACCTACCCACTCAACCGTGGATCTCCAGATGGTGACGGAAGGTAGACAGTAACCTGTGGAACAGAAAATGGTCAGATGATCAGATAATGGGAGATAAATGCACGGGGAGTGGTCCACATGCCAGTAGAAACTTTATCTTCTAAAGGATGATGGAATCGGGCAGCCAGAGACATAGTAAGGTGACAGATTTGATGGGAGGAGACTTGGAAGGGATGACAATCATCAGGAGAAAGAGAAGAATAAGCCAAATGAATCAGCTGGTAAATCCAACCCATAAGTGTAATAGTAGAAATGTCATGGTAAAGGGAATGGTTCCATTGAATAAACAAACTGGAACCATAGAAGAGAGCAGTTTCAAGGTAGCACAGCAGAGGAGAGCCTGGAAAGGACATAAGAGGCAATCCAGATAAGAACAAGGATAAAGATGAGAAATGGAAATTTTTTTTGATGTGATATATAAAAATACTACTTTTTAACTTACAGTTTCACATTTCATTTGCATAATCTCTCGAAACTCATAAATGAATATCAAAAGAGGTATTTTAGAGGTAAATGTTTATATATATATTTTATTTTCCTTTTTCTCTACTATGTCACAAACTTATCATCAACATACTGTGCAATAAAATGTTTAAGATTAACAAACTGAAATATGTACATATTTTTCTATTCATCATATGATGTTTTCCTAACTACTTCTTCTGAAATTCGTAATTTCAGTTCTTTATCTTTTCACTTATAGTTTATTTTCAATTTTCTGTGGGCCTACTCACACTTGTTCATAACACAAGGAAATAATGTGGCAATTCAGGCTTTGGATCTACTGAGCTATCATTCAATTATATCATTTCAGGAAATGGCAATAATTATTAAGGATATGTCTGTTTGTAGTTGAGCACAAAGCTACACAATTGGCTATCTGTGCTTTACCCACCAAAGGTATCGAAATGCGGTTTCTAGCATTGTAAGTCCACTGACATATCGCAGTGCTACTGAGGGGCTATTAACGACAACTAACCTGATACATTTTTACATAAAACAAATTAGAAATCAATTTATAGTTTACATCACAATCAGGCACGGATATAGAACAGTCTTTAAAAGGAATACACATATAAGAACAATAATATATGTGTGATTTAACAATCTGAAATGGATGCAAGAGTCTTTCATAGGAAATTCGCTGGTTCGATCAATAGTCAACGTTGATAATATAGGTTTTCATAATATCCTTGTTTTACATTTCTGCTTATTATCCTACTAAATGCTTTGATTTTTTAGGGTTGTGCTTGATGATTTTTAGGTATAAGATGCTGATAAATCTTCAAAGGGCAATTTGATGTGTGCATAAGAATAATGTTGAAACAATGTTCCCTAGTATTTTGATATCAAGACACACGGTAGTGGCCCGGAATAGCCAGATGGTTTGGGCACTTGATTCGCAATCTGAAAATCACGGGTTCGAATCCCCATCCCACCAAACATGTTCGCCATTTCAGTCGTGATGGTCAATCCCACTGTTCGTTAGTACAAGAGTAGCCCAAGAGTTTGTGGTGGATGGTAATGACTAGCTGCCTTCCCCAAAGCTACACGAGGGCTATCTGCACTAGCCATCCCTAATTTAGCAGTGTAAGAAGAGAGGGAAGGCAGCTAGTCATCACCACCCACCGCCAACTCTTGGGCTACTCTTTTACCAACGAATAGTGGGATTGACAGTCACATTATAATGCCCCCACAGCTGAAAGGGCGAGCATGTTTGGTGGGAAAGGGATTCGAACCCGTGACCCTCAGATTGTGAGTCGAGCACCTTATCCATGTGGTTTGAATTTCGCGCAAAGCTACACGAGGACTATCCCTAATTTAGCAGTGAAAGGCTAAATATCCAGACATTATAAAGATTTTGCATATGAAATTTCAAAATTTGCTGATGCATAAAAGTATTTTTAATCTTAAAACGAAAATTACTTTGCATGATAGATAGGCAAGATGTGTTTGTTTACTGTTGGTTGTTTTTTGAATTTTGCAGTTATCAAACATTTCCTGAGAAAAAACTTTATATTTCATCTGTTATTTTCAGTAATAAATCTCTGTATGGGTTTGGTAATTTGAACCATCTTACAACCACCAAAAAAAATTACAAAATAAAATAAAATTATGCCTCTTTCATTGTAGAATGAACACAAATTATAACACAAAAACATAAATGTTCAGGCAAAATAGCATAAATCTCATAACATTATAAATGTAGATATATATTTATTATTTGTATTATATTGTCCTTTTGCCCATGCCTGGCTAACAATACAGAAGTTACAATGACGTGGCTCATGTGCACTCATGTTACCATATCAAATAACATAAAACTGTCCTTTGGTCTGTACAAAGTAATTTGTCTTGGCTGTGTTCTAGTCAATTAGTATTTTGTAAAATACAGTCACATTTCAATTATTATACATTATATATGTATATAGAGTATTGTCAATTT